TTGAATGGGCTTAATTTGCTCAGCTTTGTGATGTTTAAAATGCACCACCGTTTGATTAGTGATACAAATTACCACAACTGATTGATTGCTTTTTAGGTGATTTTTTTATTTGCATTGCGGTCTAATTCGACGAAGTGATCCTCCACGTTGCTCATATTATATTGAGTAATGAAATGGGTTAGCGTTTACTCTTTTTGAATGGGCTTAGTTTGTTCAGCTTTGTGATGTATAAAATGCACCACCGTTTGATTAGTGATACAAACTACCTCAACTGATTGATTGCTTTTTAGAATATTTTTTATTTGCATTGCGGTCTAGTTCGACGAAGTGATCCTCCACTTTGCTCATATTATATTGAGTAATGAAATGGGATAGCGGTTACTCTTTTTGAATGGGCTTGATTTGTTCAGCTTTGTGATGTTTCAAATGCACCACCGTTTGATTAATGATACAAAGTACCTCAACTGATTGATTGCTTTTTGGGTTTTCATTTTTTGGCATTGCAGTCTAGTTCGAAGAAGTAAGGCTGCAAGTTGCCCATAATTATAATGACCAATGAACTGGTTTTTTTTTTACTCCTGATCAATTGTATTGTTTTGTTCAGTTTTGTGATGTTTAAAATGCACCACCGTTTGATAAGTGATACAAACAACTTAATCTGATTGATTGCTTTCTGTTTGAGACTTTGTTTGCACTGCAGTTTGGTTCGAAGAAATGATCCTCCAGGATGCTCATTATTATAATGAGTAATGAAATGGGTTGGCGGTTACTCCTTTTGATTGGGCTTGATTTGTTCAGCTTTGTGATGTTAAAAATGCACCACCGTTTGATTAGTGATACAAATTACCACAACTGATTGATTGCTTTTTAGGTGATTTTTTTATTTCCATTGCGGTCTAATTCGACGAAGTGATCCTCCACGTTGCTCATATTATATTGAGTAATGAAATGGGTTAGCGTTTACTCTTTTTGAATGGGCTTAATTTGTTCAGCTTTGTGATGTTTAAAATGCACCACCGTTTGATTAGTGATACAAACTACCTCAACTGATTGATTGCTTTTTAGGTGATTTTTTGTTTGCTTTGCAGTCTAGTTCGACGAAGTGATCCTCCATGTTGCTCATTATTCTAATGAGTAATGAAGTGGGTTAGTTTTTACTCCTGATCAATTGTCTTGATTTGTTCAGTTTTGTGATGTTTAAAGTGCACCACCGTTTGATAAATGATACAAACAACTTCAACTGATTGATTGCTTTCTGTTTGTTTTTATATTCGACTTGCTGTCTCATTCGGAGATGTAATCCTCCACGTTGCTCATAATTATAATGAGTTTTGTATTAGGCTGTCATTTACTCCGAATGAATTTGCTGGAGTTTGTTCAGCTTTGTGATGTTTAAAATGCACCACCGTTTGATTAGTGATACAAACTACCTCAACTGATTGATTGCTTTTTAGGTGATTTTTTGTTTGCATAGCAGTCTAGTTCGACGAAGTGATGCTCCAAGTTGCTCATAATTATGACTCCTGATCAATTGTCTTGATTTGTTCAGTTTTTGATGTTTGAAATGCACCACCGTTTGATAAGTAATGCAAACAACTTCATCGGATTGATTAATTTCTGGTTGTTATTTTATTCGCCTTTCTGTCTAATTCGGAGATGTGATCCCCCATGTCGCTCATTATTATATTGAGTAATGAAATGGGTTGGCTGTTACTCCTTTTGAATGGGCTTGATTTGTTCAGCTTTGTGATGTTTAAAATGCACCACCGTTTGATTAGTGATACAAACTACCTCAACTGATTGATTGCTTTTTAGGTGATTTTTTGTTTGCTTTGCAGTCTAGTTCGACGAAGTGATCCTCCATGTTGCTCATTATTCTAATGAGTAATGAAGTGGGTTAGTTTTTACTCCTGATCAATTGTCTTGATTTGTTCAGTTTTGTGATGTTTAAAGTGCACCACCGTTTGATAAATGATACAAACAACTTAATCTGATTGATTGCTTTCTGGTTGAGATTTTGTTCGCATTGCAGTCTAGTTCGAAGAAGTGATCCTCCAGTGTGCTCATTATTATAATGAGTAAGGAAATGGGTTGGCGGTTACTCCTTTTGAATGGGCTCGATTTTTTCAGCTAGGTAATGTTAAAAATGCACCACCGTTTGATTAGTGTTACAAACTACCTCAACTGATTTATTGCTTTTTAGGTGATTTTTTTTTGCATTGCGGTCTAGATCGACGAAGCTGATTTTTTTTGCATTGCCGTCTAGCTCGACGAAGTGATCCTCCAGGTTGCTCATTATTCTATTGACTAACGAAGTGGGTTGGTTTTTACCCGTGATCAATTGTCTTTTGTTCAGTTTTGTGATGTTTAAATTGCACCACCGTTTGATAAGTGATACAAACAACTTAATCTGATTGATTGCTTTCTGGTTGAAATTTTGTTCGCATTGCAGTCTAGTTCGAAGAAATAATCCTCCAGGATGCTCATTATTATAATGAGTAATGAAATAGGTTGGCTGTTACTATTTTTGAATGGGTTTGATTTGTTCAGCTTTGTGATGTTTAAAATGCACCACCGTTTGGTTAGTGATACAAACTACCTCAACTGATTGTTTCCTTTTTAGGTGAATTTTTCTTTGCATTGCCGTCTAGTTCGACGAAGTGATCCTCCACGTTGCTCATTATTCTAATGACTAACGAAGTGGGTTGGTTTTTACCCGTGATCAATTGTCTATTGTTAAGTTTTGTGATGTTTAAAATGCACCACCTTTTGATAAGTGATACAAAAAAGTTAATCTGATTGATTGCTTTCTGGTTGAAATTTTGTTCGCATTGCAGTCTAGTTCGAAAAAATGATCCTCCAGGATGCTCATTATTATAATGAGTAATGAAATGGGTTGGCTGTTACTCTTTTTGAATGGGTTTGATTTGTTCGTTCAGCTTTGTGATGTTTAAAGTGCACCACCGTTTGATTAGTGATACAAACTACCTCAACTGATTTATTCCTTTTCAGCCGAATTTTTTATTTGCATTGCCGTCTTGTTCGACGAAGTGATCCTCCACGTTGCGCATTGTTCTAATGAGTAACGAAATGGGTTGGTTTACTCCTGATCTATTGTCTTGTTTTGTTCAGTTTTGTTATATTTAAAATGCACCACAGTTTGAGTGATACAAACAACCTAATCTGATTGATTGCTTTCTGGTTGAGATTTTGTTCGCATTGCAGTCTAGTTCGAAGAAGTGATCCTCCAGGGTGCTCATTATTGTAATGAGTAATGAAATGGGTTGGCTGTTACTCTTTTTGAATGGGTTTGGTTTGTTCAGCTTTGTGATGTTTAAAATGCACCACCGTTTGATTAGTGATAGAAACTACCTCAACTGATTTATTCCTTTTAAGCTGCATTTTTTTTGTATTGTCGTTTAGTTCGACGAAGTGATCCTCCAGGTTGCTAATTATTATAATGAGTTGGCGGTTACTCGTTTTGAAGGGGATTGATTTGTTCAGCTTTTTGATGGTAAAAATGCACCACCGTTTGAATAGTGATACAAACTACCTCAACTGATTGATTGCTTTTTAGGTGTTTTTAAATTTGCTTTGCATTTTAGTTCGACGAAGTGATCCTTCACGTTACTCATTATTCTAATGGGTAACGAATTGGGTTTGTTTTTACCATGAAAAAAGAAGATGAATATTTTTCATTTTCAGCCTTATATTGTTACCTTTGCGATATACAAAGATATTGCAATCGGATACTACACTTTTTTCCCGTAAAAAACTTTCTTCACAGTGGTCGTTTTCGTAGGAATGGTAAATATCACATCTTTTATGCTCAAACTCCAGAATTTCAAATAAAACTATCACCATTTAAGTAGTAAATAGGTAAAGACTGTTCAGGTTCTAATTTGTTTTTCAAAAATTGTATCTCAAATGTTTTATCGGGTTCGTGGTTTTGGTCCTAGTTTCTATCTGTTCATTTTCCATTTTTTTTATCTTGTAGGGTTTTCATTGGCTTACTTTTTAAAGCATGGGTTTAGTTCCAATTTAAGCGTTTTTTTTACTATAATTGAAAGCTCAGTAATTAGTAAGTTTAACAAATCTGATTTTGCGTATTTTTTCATATTTATTTAAATATTCAATCAGATTCTTATTTCTACCTTTGTTGCCGCGCGGTGAATGATTTCCAATTGTTCTTAAGGCTTTTTATTAACGTTCGATACAATCATGAAGTTTTGGTGTAGTTTTTCAGATTTTTACTGTCTTTTTTCGACTGACTATTTTGTAGCACAATTCGAAGTTTTCAAGCGAGTTCAATACTGGTTGCTGTGTTCTGCCCCAGGTTTCCATCAAAATGAGTTCCAGTTTGAAACAAAAAATTGACTAAACGCCAAAAAACTTACACCCGAAATGTTCAAATGTTTGTTTCAAACTGAAACTTATTTTGCGTGTTGTTTTTTGGCGTTTTGTCAGTTTTTAAGAGTTCGTTGCTTTGTGTATTGCAAATGGTGCGAAGCTCAGCTTCGCCTCTCTGTTTATTTTGTTTTAAGCTTTCGGATAATTTATAATAGTAGCCCAGTATTTTGTAGAGTTCGGGGTTGAGGAAGTTAGACGACAGCCAAAGTAGACGACCAAAATTACGGAATTTAGCGTGAAATTGGATTACATACTTTAGTTAACTTTTGTTGGAATAAAAACTGGTTGTCCAAGCATAAGTCAGGGTATTTATGTCACAGTTGTCCAATTTATGCATTTCAAAAAAGTGATTTACTTTTTCGATTCAATGTTTTCCAATTAATTTTCAACAATGTTTTTGATCAGTTCTGTGATCATATAGTCTTTTTGTTTTTGTGTTACTTCATTCTATAAAAAAAATTTCGCTGGCCCAGATCTCATTGTCTAAAATTCACAAATTTATTGTCTAAATTCCGTTTTTATACGGTCGTCTTATTTGCTTGTCACCTAATTTCCTAGGCCTCGTAGAAGTCATGTTAATTTGTTTTTAGGTTAAAACACATCAGTGTCAAGAGTCTAGAGTATGGCAACGAAGGGATGGTAGATGGCAGAACATTCATGTTCACCGATCCTCTCAGGCGCCCTCACGGACGTAGAACGAGAAAGTTAGATTAATTGAAATTCCACTGCTAAAAGTGACTCTATTCCTCTCCAAATATACCACTCTCAAATACGCTACTTGAAGGAAGCGGGCGTTCATGTCAAGTCGATCATATTATGAACCTTAATGAGGCAATGCGTGTGGTTGGAACAAGAAACATGCATGCTTTGTGCAATCATTTAGTGCGAGAACGTAAAGCATGCATCGGATCCTCCGAATGGTCGTGGGGTTCTGATTAGTTTCGCCTCGGAAGTTTTTAATTGCTCGCTTTAATCGTTCCACTGCCGCTTTTATCGTCAAAATCGCGACAATTCCAACACAATTTGCATCACAGAAAGAGGAGAAAGACTCTTAACTGCAGAAATATTCATGTTGCAATTTGTTGGGTTAATGACATGTCATTTGATTTTAAATCAAGATCAGCTCTAAATGTTACTTAGTAATTCAATTCAAATTGTGGAGCTCACTGTCTATTTTTTTGGTTTAAATGAGACCCACGTAACCGTGAAAAGTTTCTTCTATTTTTATTTAATCGTTTAGTTATGGTCACTGTGAGCTCGTAATTTTTCATTAAGTTATTCTGTGCAATTGATTGTCACAATAAATTCAAATTCGCCAAAAATTTTGTAAATGTTCCCCAATCATAAATCATTAATTGTTTTTCTACCAATCAAGCTGTTATTATTTATGTACACACCAGCCAGGTACAATGCGATTACCGATGCCAATGTTATAGGGCAATAGACTCGACTGTGGATTTCAGTTGCTTGTTTTAAAAATAGGCTACTTACTGAGCTAACATCATGAGGCCAAATGTAATACCTCGATGCTGAGCCTCAATCATCCATCATCACAAATCTGTAAAAAAAATTACAAAATCGAAATTTGCATTAAAACTGTAAATACATTATGAAGCTATAAATGTCTTTTTCTATCTTTTTACCCTGTCAAGTAAATCCAATGTCTTCAGTTGACGTAATATTTTGTTTCAATTTGATCTTGATTCCTTGCCTGAAACGACGGTTCTCGGTACAATGGAACTATCCGTCACTGCCAGAGATATTTGGGATCGAATCTTGAAACTCGTGTCACCTACGAGATGATGGGTTTAGTGTTAGAATAGAATATTATAAAACAAAAGGTATGCCTATGCTGGAAGTTTAAGCTATACCGTGACTCCGAGAGAAGCACTCATTTATCAGAATTATTCTGCTTAAAAAGGGCAGGCTTCATTTTTGAACTAATTAGAATCCCAATCAATTTTTTCGGCCAATGTCAATTCTTCGAAGCCAATAGGAATGGTTTTCACTTCCAGGGCTTGCAGTAAAGGGCAATGGGTCGTAATATGGTTCCCACAATAGACTCAAAATGAGTTTGTTTATACTGATCACTTATAAATTTCAGTGCTAACTATAATCTGTAATTAACAATATCCATAGATCTTGTTCGAATTTGAAAGCTATCTAAATTCCATTGGTTTCTGAAAATGCGAAAACTAATTAAAATGCTTAGACTACTTAAACCACAAAAGCGTTCGTTTTTTGTTTCGTATTCTAAAGTTATAAAAAAAATCTAGTTAATTTTGATTAATTGTCTATGATATGGTTTGAAATGCTTTCTCTTTGATCCACTGAGATTTATTGTTAAATTACCTTTTCATTTAAATTTACATATTTCAGTATCCCAGCCTTTGTTTTTTGTCTAGCAGCTAGCACAAAAATTCCATTCGCTCGAAAGGTTTCTGTCGGACATGTATAGTTTCGACCGTTGGCCATATTGAAGAATTGATTTGTGTTAAATAGCGCACATTTTGCAGATTAAATAATCCGGACGAATGGACGAAACGGGGAACTTGAGGTGTTTTTTTTCAGCTGTTAGAAGTGGGTCAAATTAAGCTCCAAGTTACTTCAAAGAAAACTCGAACATGGTAAAAGTAGTTCTCAGACGAATTTGGAGAAATATGCCGATCTTTCTGCTCATATGTTCATCCATATCTTTTTGACATCCAAGCCACGAATGAAGGGGCTTTAATAGCTCAAGCAGACGCTTACTAAATCAAATTAAGATTTAAATTTTTCCAATCTCAGTTACATTTCTTGGGTTTTCAATTTTTGTTCCGACCGCTGAAAGTGCAAATTTGTCTTCGGTTATGCTTTACTTTTTTCTCTTTTGTTTCAACGCAAAATCAGGTACCACAAATAATCATCGGAATGTGACGAGTAATTTATAATGTAAAAGCCTTTTCAGTCGTAATTTGAACGACTTAGAATTCTCTCATTGTCGAGAAAAATTAGTACGAAATTTTTTATTTTTAGTCCAATTTCGTGCGAATAAAGCAAGCGAGCAGTCTTATAATAGACTTCAATAGGAACCTAATAGCAAGCTGATTAATCAAAATATGTAAGTCGTGAAAACTTAGTTTCACTCCAGTGAATTTTCTCAAAATTTTTTGAGCGCCTCGGGGGAAAAATTGAAAAATGAAACATTTTCGAAACTTTTTTTTTTTTTATTTGACGAGGAAAATCCCCTCGCAGCACCAACAACAAAAAGCGACGCAATTTGATTTAAAGAAAGAACTCGTTTATCCTTGTTCAAAAGCTTCATATTTGGGCAAAAGTGCTTACGCTGTGATTGGAAGCCTTGATTTGAGTTGAGCCGCACTAAAAGCTGGAACTTTTAGTAACTTGGACGGGTCCACATTGGGGTGCATGAAATATGGAACCCTCGGTTTTTTTATTCAGTGTCTGAAATTGAAATTTTTTCCGGGGAAAAATTGATGAGTCAGATTATAGTTTGTCGGCTTAGTTGTCACTTGTTTTTTCGGTTTGGTGAACTTATTTTATATCGATATAAGAATTTAAAAAAGTTTTTTATTCATGTTTTTGATAAATCAGGTCGACTGGTAGTGGATAAGTTAAAATTTAAAACTTTTTAACCACTCAAATTGTTTTTATGACAACTATTCCTTTCGTATTTTTTATTTTCAGTTCAATTGGCGTCTAACCACGTAGTGTTGTGGTTTAGTGGACGGTCGGAAAATACTGCAATCTTGTTTAATGCTAGTTGATGTGTTTCTCGTCTGTTTTTCTGAGATTAGGTTTTTCGTAGTTTCAAAAAAATTGTTGATTTTTCATTGACAATTTTCTTTGTTTTTTTTTGGTTACGGATTGATTGACGTCTAATTAAGTGGTGTTGTGGCTCAGTGGACGCTCGGAAAATACTACAATCTTGCTTCCTGCTGGTTTTTGTGTTTCTCCACTTAGTTTTTTCCATCTCTGGCTGTTGTAGTTTTTTCTCCACTTAGTTATTTCCATCTTTGACTGACCATCTAGTAGCTTGCAATGTTGTTGTGGCTTAGTGAACGTTCGAAAAAACTAAAAGTTTGCTTAATGCTAGTTGATGTGTTTCTAGTCTGTTTTTCTGAGATTAAATTTTGCGTAGTTTCAAAAAAATTGTTGATTTTTTATTGACAATTTTCTTTGGATTTTTCGGTTACAGATTGATTGGTGTCTAACTAAGTGGTGTTGTGGCTTGGTGGACGCTCGGAAAATACTACAATCTTGCTTATGCTAGTTGTTGTGTTTCTCCACTTAGTTTTTTAGTTTTTTCCATCTCTGGCTGTTGTAGGTTTATCTCCACTTAGTTTTTTTCCATCTCTGACTGACCATCTAGTAGCTTGCAATGTTGTGGCTTAGTGAACGTTCGAAAAAACTAAAAGCTTGCTTAATGCTAGTTGATGTGTTTCACGTCTGTTTTTCTGAGATTTAGTTTTTCGTAGTTCATTGGCTTTTTTTGTTTTCGGCTGTTTTGTTTTCGGATCGATTGGCGTCTAACTAGGTGGTGTTTTGGCTTGGTCCACGCTCGGAAAATTTTAACATCTTGCTTTTTGCTAATTGTTTTGTTTCTCGTCCGTTTTTCTGTGAAAGAGTTTTTCTGTTTTTCTTGCAGTTGTACGCTTTCATTTTTTTCTTGTAGAATTTCGTTTGCAAAATTTCTCTCAATGTCAAGTATCAACTGATATACTTGTCTCGTCTAACAATGCATTGTTCGAACCAGACAGCTCTCTCAATAAATTAAGTATAATTTGTGAGCCGACCTGACTTGCCGTTTACGCTACGCGTTAAAAGAAAATTGGTAAATAGTGCGCTTCGACTATGCCGAAATAGTCCTACGTTGAAAACCCAATAACTTTTTGAGAAGTTGTCACAGCTAAAGTATCTGTTTAATTTTGAGCGCAGTTTATTAATGTCTTTCGATGGTATAAAAAAAAACTCAGTCAAGAATTGCTTACCAAAATTGAATTTTGTCCGGAGAAAAAGAAACGAAGAGCCTAGTTATTTTTGTTACTTTCTCCAAAAATTGGATTTTTAATCTGATTAATTTAACGCGGGTCTGTTTTGCCGGTTACGTTTTGAGCATTCTAGAAGTTTGTGTAAGTGTGTTTGTGTTTGCTAAGGTTTTTCCGGCTTTGTTACCGCGTGATAACTTTTTATACGACGCTAAACTCATTTCTATTGTCTTGGCTGGCTGTTGTTTGAAACCTAGTCTTATCGATAAATCTAGTTCGAAATAGTTTGTATCGGTAGTGTTGCGAAGCTCAGATTCCCCTTTGTGTAAAAAAGTCAAGTTAATTCTGAGCAACTGTCTATGTATTGTTTGAATTGTTTTCTCATTGATTCACCGAGATTTATGTTATCCTTGCGATAAGGAATGGTACTGCAATCGGGTATTAATTTTTTTTCAACTGATTTTTTTTTTTCAAATGATTTTACCAAAAAAAATGTTTAATTTTGTTTGTGGGTTCGTGAATTTACGTTGGTTTAATTTCCATTTCATAATTGAATTTATATTATCTGGTTTTACATGGGCGTATTTGGTAAAGCATTGATTTCGCTTTGATTTAATTGCATAATCGTTTTACATTGCGTAGTTTAGAGGGCAAAAATTTTGTAATTGACAAAATCAGGTATAATGAAATTGTATTTGTTTTTTTCATTATTTTTTTTCGTTACGCTTTTGAATGTTTCTCGATCTCTTCTTCTCTAATTTTCAAAACACTGGAACCACGAAAAGATCGGGTTTTAAATTGTTTGTCTGCATAGTTGCATAGTTTCTTCTAAACTTAATCCAACTTCAAAGGCCTTCAAAAATTTAAACGTGGGGAATGTTTGACTCATTTCTTTTTTATTTTTTTAAATCAAATATTACTGAGCCAAATCTCAGATTAAGTTTTCAATGGCAATAACAGGTAGTGGGGATCTCGTCTACATAAGCGGCTACGTCCTAATTTTCTTCGACAAAAGTTGTAACCTCACAAAAGGCCATTCTTTGACACTTCGTAGTTTTTAAGAAAAATGGAAAAAAATAGCCAATCTCATTTTTTGAATTAAGTTTTTAATCCAAAAAGCAGGTTAAGAGAATCTTTCCGCCGCAAACGGTTACACTCCAACTTCTGTATAAAATTAGTTTTGAAAGGGTTTTGAAAATCCTCCCTGCGTTAGCAATTTTTCCCTATTTATGAAAGAAAAAAAACTAATCGCATAGAGAAGAGTCAAGTATTTGAAACTGTGGCCGCTTTTTCGATTGTTCTCAATTTCTCCTATTTCAATATTCATGGCTCAATTGGAATAACAGATTTCGGAATTTTTGCTTTATAAGCTGTTACGCCCTTATTAATGGAGAAAGCTTCAGCCTTCGGAAAAGTCAAATTTGTTTATTTTTGCGACAGTTTTTTGGAAACTTTTTGACTTTTCTCAAAAACTACCCGGCTAAACCTTCAATTAAAAGGTTGCTAGAAAACGGTGTGATCCTGCCTATTCTTGAAATATTTGAAAAAGTATTTCAGAAGTGTTTGAAAAATCTGAAACAAATCACAGTGTTTTAGTCAATTTTTTCACATCTGAACACAAAATTTTGAAATTCTAGCACTCAGCTTCACCTCTGTTTCAATTTCTCTATTTTGAAATCTTATACAGTTTAAGATAGATAACCTGAAAAACTGTGCCTTTGCTGCTGTTTTTTTTTGTACCAAAAATGTTTTGTAACTGTCTGGTAAGAGATTTGAATATCGTGCATGAAAATTTTTTCTATCAAATTTTTCCTTCTGTATAACATTTTTTTTATTGAAAGAAAGACGACGTCACTATAATTGAATCTTGGAATGCATGCAAAGTAATTCCACGTTTTCAGTCATCATGATTAAACTGAATCGCATCTTTCCTTGCCTTTTACATTGGCGTTCTGCTTGGTCTCTCCCTATGGCCACAGAAGTAAACAAAGAGCTGAAACAGTTTCCTCTAGTGCCACTCGCTCCTCGGGTGAACCCGACCGGAAGAGGGGTTCGTAAGAAGCAAACTTCAAATCCCATCTTCAAACTCAACGATGCGACTACCTTACAAGGTTTTCAGTCAATGCCGTCAGTTAGTCATATACTGAATGAAACTCGAAGTGAGGAAGATGTTTTGAAGTTGAACCAATGGAAGAATGCCAAGATCAGGGAATTGGGAGGAGAGGAGCAGTTTCAGGAGTACTCCGAAAGCATGGCTCAGTTTTCCGCGCAATGTCATTCGCTGATCAAGAAGAAAATTGAAAACGAAATCGATTTTGAGTCGGCAGCAGACATCGGCGATGAAAGAACAAAAAATATTCTCAAGCAATTTGATCAAATTCGAGCAGCCAATGTTACCGACATAAGCATGTGTGAAAAAACTGTCGTTCACGATGTTTTGGGCTATAGAGGAAAGTTTGATTGCCTAATCGAAGTTAGTGGTTTAAGATTAATTGCGGATTGGAAAATTCCAGATAATGCAAATAGGCGTAGATTGGGAATCCAAGATTGTCAACTGAGTGAATTGTTGCAATGTGTTGCTTACTTAGGAGCAATAAATCATTCGAAATTGGTTGAGAAACCCTTGGACGGGTTTTGCCTTGTTTATTTGTATCACGACAATCAAAGCCCTCCTGATGCACAAGTGGTAACAGGGAAAGATTGCAATCCGTTTTGGGCCGCGTGGGTCAGCAAAGTGAAGCAGTATCATTCGCAAAGCTCAGAAAACTTGAAAGCATTTTCTTCTTAAGATGATCTGGTTGATTGAAATGTTGAAGCAGTAACAATCGCAGAACTGTTATAGCTTGAAATCTTTTTCCTCCGAAAATGTTTGAAATGAATTGCAATATCGAAGCAGTAACATTCGCAGAACTCAAAAAACTAGAACTCATTTTGGGTTGAAGATGATTTGACTGAATAGCAATACTGAAGCAGTAGCATTCGTAGAACGAAAACTTGAAATCTTTTTCAAATTTTCTCAGTTGAATTGCAATATCGAAGCAGTATAGTTTTATTTTGTGATTTTTGTTTTGTTTCCAAATTTATATATATATATATATATATATTTTTTTTTTTAAGTTTGACTTTTGATTCTCTTGGTCAACATCAAGTGCATTTGCTAAAGGGAAGGCAAATTACCATTGGCACAAGAACTGGAGAATAAGTTTCAAAGCGAGTTTGAATTATCAGATTTCCCACCATTAAATGAACGCTAATAAACAAAGATCTTGAAACTTGAGCTCTTTAGTTCAGTAACACTGTCTCAACTGACTGCTGGCCTTGTGTTTCTTTTGGCGTGCGGAATTCGATGATGAGTACTTATTCATAATGATAATTTTACTGCAATTTTTTTTCAAAGTACGTCAAGAAATTTCCGAAAATTGCTGTCTATACATTTTCATTCTGCATAACAACCTAATACAGACTGAAAATTGAGTTTCCGAATCGTTCAAGACTAATGAACGTTCTGAAGATTCTTATATAGGTCCTGGTGATTTTTCTGTGATTTTTTTCAGGAAAAAGGCTTATTTTTTTCAGAAAAAATATCGATTGACCCAGTTTTCTATAATTGGGTTAGGTTTTACTGACCGAGATTAAATGCATCGTGTTATGTCTTAAAATTTGTTCACGCTCAATTTTGATTTTTCGCGTTGTGACTTTCGATTTATTTTTAAGGTCAGTTCATCTCAGGAACAGGAAAAGTGTCGATCTCTCGCTTCGAAGTTAGTAATTAATTATCGGGTTGTCAGCGAAATAAAAAGTTTACCTATGGTTACAGTTTTCTCAAATTGAGTTAATTTTATCAAAAAAAGTGTCAAACATAAATTGTTCGTGAAAATCAAAGTGCAAAATGAAATTTAAAAAAAAAATCAGTTTGTTCTGTTTCTTTGCGTTCATTACTCTTTTCCAACTGTCAGTTGGCTTTAATTAAGTTTTCATAATTGAAATAAACTAAAAGATTTTCTAAAATTGGGAAATTGTGTTAGGTTGACAGTTAACGCTGAAATAACGACGTTAGGCTGAAACGAACAATGGATTAAACTGTAAAAAAATTAAAATGCTAAAAATTAAAGTTTTTATGGGTGACATTTTGCGTTTTTGGTAGACCCCTGCATAATTGCAGAACTAAAACATAAATTTGCGGGTTCTTTCTGAAACAAGCGAGTCTTCTTTGTTTTTTTTCGAGATTGTTTTTCCACTTTTTTGTTAATACATCAATATTCAAGCGTTCATCTGCCAAAAAACATGTTAGGGTGAAAGTGTTCCAGAAAAACATTAAAAACTACGATTGTTTGGGCGGTCAATTGTTGGTTATTTTAATGTGACTGCCTGCTACTGGAGGTACCAATATGGTTCCTTTCTCAGACTGATAGTATGACCCTCCAAAATGTGAAAAAGAAATTGTTGCCAAACACAAAAAGTTTCTACAATTTTTCGGGTGGTAAATTTTTGGTTATTTTAATATGAATGCCTACTACTGCAGGTACAAATAGGGTTCCATTCTCAGGCTGAAAGTATGACGCTTCAATAATTTTTCGTAATCGAGGTCTGTATGTTTAATAAGAAATACATGTGCTCAATTCACTCTCAGCCAAAGAATGGCTATTACTTAGAGTTAGTTTCACTAGCTAAGATTAATGGTAATGAATACTTAACTGCCTGACAAAGAACGTCTGGCAAACTAAAGGCAGACTAACTGCCAAGTCATGGGTGGAAAAACAAAAATTTAAGTTTCAACTAAAAAACTATTAGCTTTGACCTAATTTGTTGATCTCATTAGTATTTCATATTTTTCGTCTTCTCAGTTATCTTATCAACGAGAGCTATCCGGCATTATAGAAGACTTAGATTAACGACTCAACCTCGCTCGATCACTCTCCCAGAAAAAATCTCTTTGCGTATGACTACAAGTCAATCCCAACGTACGAAAATCAGGAGGACTGTATTCGTGACTATGTTGAATGCGGGTCCTGCTGGAACTTTCAAACAGCTATGTCTCACGACTCATTTGTTAGGGGAGCAGTTATATCTCTAGCTCCAGCAGAATCAACCTCCTACTCGGATGCTCGAGTTTCATCGACACAGTGCAGAGACCATCGATCTAATGTTTTCAGATGTTATTCCAGGAACCCCTCCAACTGCAGCTTGCTGCACCAAAAAAAAACTAATTTTTTAAAGTTTAAACAAAAAACTAATTTTTGTTTCGACTATGATTCTTGAGGTTTTTTTAAATTCAATTTTGTTGATGAGTGATTCCTGGGCTAAAACCGTGTTCCACTCAAGGCAATTTACCTTGTTCGGTTTTGAATTTATGCGCTTGTTACCAGAACTCAACTTGCTTTTTCGTTCTCGATGTTTTCGTTTCTAAAGGAGCCTTCGGAGCCAATTGAATTAATTATGAGGGGAGGAGGGGGAGCGCGCGGTCAAAATTTTCGAAAAAGTGCCTAAAAACTTCGGCCTCCGGGGCAAAAACTTTTCACAAAATACGGGTCTTATATTATTTTTGGAGAGCTCGGAAAATCAAATATGTCGGCTTATCGAATAAAGATCGACAAAATTTGCAAAACTTTTTCGAAAAACGGCCCCTCCGCCCTTAAAACTTTCTGCGCACGCCACTGTGAAATGCATAACTTATACACGCCCTTTTAAAGTTAGTACATGCCTAGGAGGATAGTTTACGGTCTTGTTCCAATGTTCCCGCTGTCTACCCTTCTAATAAGAGGGCTTTTTCAGCTGATATGGATGTGCTTGCAACTAATTTAATATCCTAATCTACATGGGGAAAAGGCCGAGTTCAAAACTCCCTTTGAATATCATCAGCCATAATTTTAGGGTTATTTTTGAAGGTCTATGTTTCTAATTCTGAAAAAATGAGAGCAGAAACGAAGAAGTTTGCTCCTGAGTCGTTGCAAAACAAATGAATTACTTCTGCAAAGGTGAATTATCTAGCGTGGCATTATTATTGCGTTGCGGGGTCGCTCACAATGTTAGAGTTGAAGAAGTTAACCAACGTTTTTATCGCCTTGAAGAAATAAATTTACTGAAGATATTAACTTACTGAGTTCAAACGCAAAAAAAACCTTTTGTTCGACAATTACTTTTAAAAGTCAGGGGGATAGAAAGTTGCCAATTTTTCCATGCTCTGGGCTAATTTATGTACGTTGTGAAGATTTATTTATGATTCTGAAAAGGTAGCGCGGTTTCTTCTATGAACATTTTACGCGAACCCTAAAAATTGATAATTTGCATTTCTTTTAGAACATATTCGGATATCAGCTCTGTTTTTTTTTCGTACCTAAAAAATTTGGTCAACCAAAATGTTTTTCGAAACTGCATTTCCTCATGAGAAAAGTCTCGATCCGCCCCTGCCCTTAGACATATTTTGTTTACATAACAGGATGCGCATTTTGATTTTTCAATGCTTGCAGTTTGACATGGTCATAAAATAGTACTTAACTATGTTTTGGTTCTTGACAGCAGGTGGTTTTTGGATTGCATTCCTGATAACTTCTCAAACAGAGTGTAAAAAGGAAGTTGTGAGATTATAAAAGAATTCTGCTTTTACATCTGCAGATATATCAATATTTCATGACATCAGCTGTTTTGTTTCAGTTTTTCTTTTCTCATTTTTCTTTCAATAGCATTCAACTAAAAGAAGAAAGATATGTAAAAGAAAGGAAGAATGAATCTTGACGACTTTGAGGTAAGCCTTTTTTGTTTGACTAAATAAAGGTAAAGAGAGTATAATTTGCATCCGAAAAAAAATTCGTTTTCAGTCTCAAAAAGTTTCAAAAAGGTGCAAATAATTCTCAAATTGAATATTTTACTTTAGAAATTAGATCATTTTTTTCTTCTAAAGAATTATAGTTTCTTTTTCAATGGGACTGTAAAGTAAAATCTTCTTTTTGAGATTGATTTGCTCTTTTTCATAGTAAATTTAAAAATTACATTGTTTCAGAATACGGATTGCTTCAAGCAGCTGGCCAATGAGCTTGACGGGGAATTCGGAGGAGGTCTGTTGGGTCCCAAGGCCATAGTTCCCCCGGGAGTGGCCAACCCTGGCTTTGACGAGCACTATGATGAGGCATCCAATGGATCCGGCTCAAAGGTAACTTCCGTAGATATATTTATAGGTGCACATGTGAGAGTTTGGAGCAAGAATGAGCTTTTGTGCAGAGTTTTGTGACGATTTTTGAACATTAAAATTTTTTGAACATTTACAGCGGTCTATGACAGCGGATCCCATTTTTGCTCTAAATAGGAACGCTCAACCAATCAGAATTAAGTATTTCACTCGCAGCGCTGAGCAAGTTTAATCCAGAGTAAAAGTTAAGGCGGCGGATCGTTATTTGGTCAATCAGAGGGGATAGATGTTGATTTCAAACGTTTATATTGAAGGTACAGGCCGAAAAAAGAGATATTTTGATTTGCGGTAAGGTTAACAGCTTTAGATAAACCCTATCGCACTTATGCTGTTGTTAAGGTCGACATGAATATGGAGCCTAAAACAAGCAAAGAGGGCCAGCAACAGCGGTTCCGATCCGAGAAGGACTTCAGCACCATTGACCCCACCTTCAACATGATACGAGTGATTGTCAACGACTTCGGGGACCAGTGCTCCTTGCATGGCATCTACGCCCTCTTCTCCAAGAGGAGTATTTTCGCCAAGCTGCTCTGGGCAGTGGCTATTCTCTTCATGAATGGACTCTTCTTCTTCTACTTGCTCGATCTGATGGAAGATGCAGTTCTGAAGAGTCCGGCGGCAACTACTACGAGTTTGAGCTACGAGCAGGTTTTAAAAAATATCATCCATTCGAACGTTGCGGCAAACAACATATTTTTTCTGAGTTACAGCTTCATGGCTCCTGCAACTTCAAGGCTCCTTCAAGAACATTTCATAAAAATAAGTCATAGATAAGAAGTCACAATTCTGATTGAAGACAAAATGCTATCGGCAAATTTGTTTTCTCACAAGTAATAACCAAATGAGCAGTTTATTTCAGCAAAGCATGGTGCGCTTTCCTCGTCTGACGATCTGTGACCCGAGTCCCGACATCTCCAAGATGGACGCTTACTTCGAGGGCAACGCGGGACCCGCCCTCCGCTTCATACTTGGCATCGCCTACAACCCCATGTTCGCAGAGGTGAAGAACGACCTACAGGAGGACGTGGCGGCCGCACTCGCTAAACACACTGGTATGCTATACGAGCGATTACTTTTTGAAGAACTTTTAGTCGGACAGGACAGTCCATGAATGAAAACATCGGTTGCATTTTTGGTTGTTTTAGGTTTTATAAAGTTACGTCGACGTCATATTTGGTAACCAAATAACGTCAAATTTTTCGAAAATATGGGAGAGTAATAAACAAGCTGCCACCTGTCCCGGCTATATTTAGTCAACATTTCCTAAGCATTGGGGAACATTTGAACAGAGTTTAATCTGAGTATCTGGGATTTCAGATGAAAAAAAAATGAATTTCAATCCGAAAGGACTAAAAGTTTTAAAGCTGCAATTAATAAAACTCATGCATTGTGTTTTCACTTTCAGGAGTGGTGGTGGCGTTTAATGAGCAAGTTAACATGTCCAACATTACTGCGGCTGCCAAGGCCAAGTACATGTTGGGGGATGACCTCGAGAGCACCATGGTGATGTGGAGCAACTATGACTTCAATTTCGATTACGACAGTGTTGCGGGGTCCACCATCGACATGTTCAGGGCCACCACTCCTGTGTTGCTAGAACTCGTCATGGTCAGTGTAAAGCTTAATCAAAGCAAAGATTGAATTGAAAATCACCAAAATTTTGGTGGGTCAAGTAAAATTGAAGCTGCAAAACACTACCAATCTTTTTTTTGCGTAATTGAGAGGCGAGAGATCAGAAACATGGTTGCTATGAGACGCTTCCGGTCAATTGTAGAGATGTTCGAATCAATAGGTTTATTTGCGTTGTTGTGCTTGCGTAGTTTTGCACGTGGAAGGGGGTGGACTGTAGGACTGCTGATGCATGGAGCCAGTACCTCACCCCCAGTGGGTTCTGCTGGGTGTTCACTCCAGATGACGACAAAGTATACACTGCTGGACAGGCTCAGGTCAATCAAATTGATCACATACATCTAGCTTTCGAATTCGAATAATCTGTGAGCTATTGAATTTCAACAAATGTATATTTAATTTACGAGGATGTAAACTGTCGGATATTAAATTATATAGATAACATTTTGTCTATCGAATGGCGTGGGAAGCATCTAATTGGTTAGGGATTCAGGCTCTCCATCTGATCCTGGACACGATGGCGGATGACGGGAGTGCGGTGCTGCACAACTACCTGGGGGTCTCATTCGACATCAAGGACAGAGACAAGAGTGTCACTGTCTCCGACGACAGCCAGCAGGTCACATTTCATCATGACTAATGTCACAGTTTTGCAGGCTATTTTCCGACAATTTTTTCCTCGGGAGAAATTCCCAATTCGTCCTTTTATTCACACTGAGCAAACTGGTAAGGCGGGCGCTTTGATATCATGATTTCGTTCCCCTGCCATGCCAATGATAGTGTGTGAGGACGAGCTCGAATTTGACCCCTAGCTTCAGATCTACCACAGCCTGGTCGATTTTGGATGCATATGTAAAATTACATAAAAGTTCTAGAGGTAAAAAAAAAGTGGCCGTGAGGCGCAAAAAAGAGCTTCATCAAACAAAATAACTCAATCTGGAATGTGGAAAAATAATTCAAATGACCTATCTTTAGACAGGCTGAGTAGCCTTTCATAGCTCGTCTGCAATTTGCAGGAACCAAAATTATTAAATTTCAATATTATTTATTGTAGTCATCCGCTGCTAGCTTCTACTGTCAAAGGGACGTATGATAATCAGAAAGACAAACAGCTCTTAAATTTAAAATGAGCCAAAATCTTACAAACTTCAAAACCTCCAAAATGCATTGCAGTCAATTTTCAAAATGTCTGTTTCATCAGCTCTTTGATCAGGGCGACACCTGAATTAAGTTAAGTTTAAACGTCTATCTTAAAAATAACCAAGTATGGCCTAGATCCTGTTGTCGCCCGGCGTGTCCTACTTGCTGAGTTTCCGCATCTCCGAGTTTCTGGATGACTCGGACACCATGGACTGCATCTACGAAGGATCTCCCGGTCACCTCACCTACTTCGACCAGGTAAATGCGTGCTGTGTCAAAATATGCAGTATCTTCTGTTCAATTCCTGCTGATCAGGTTTCTTCTTGCAGTGAATAAAGAATCATAGGATCTGTGAATTGGAAATAATCTTCTTTCTAAGTTTCAGTTTCGGTCAATTTCAGTACTCGTTCTCCGCCTGCATAGACGAGTGTGCCTCGGACGCCGAGATAGGTTCCTGTGGATGTCGGGAACTGGGCATGCCCTTCAAAAATGCATCGGAACTGCCGGCTTCGATGGAACATCTGGCGGGACCACAGGTGTGCAACATGTACAAGGGACTCATGTGCAACATGAACAAGACTGAGATCCTCAAGAACTGCTATCAACAGTGCAAGCCGCAATGCAACTTCAGGTACACGAACTACCTGAAAATAACTTAGTTCGAATAGAATTGTTTCGGGCTTAGCTAGAGTTTCAAGAAAAAACAGGACATTACAGATAAAGAAAATAAAAACTATCCAAAAAAGTTTTAAAAAGGCTTTAGAAATGCTATGTTGTCTAGAATGAAATTGGTTTGTCTTTTAGTCGCTATGACTTCCAGATGTCATTTGGGGCGTTTCCGGCTCCCCTGGCGGCAGTGTACAACATGCCAGTGTTCTTCGGAGACGAGATAGAGTACGAGTACATGGCTGAGAACATGGTGGAGGTCAGGATGTTCCTCGACGACATGTTCATTATGAAGTGAGCTTAGCACCACATTTTTTAACAGCCAGTCACAGGGGGCGGATCTAGGGTCTTTCGAGGGAGTAGGGGAAATATTTTTTAGGTCGACCAAATTGAGTTTCTGGCTCTCCCAAATCACAAATAAAAGACCATATTTATCAAATTTTTATGTGATTTTGGCACGCTACCCCTTTTAATTAGATTAGATTGACTCCAAAAGCGTTTTAGATAACTTTTGCGCTACTGGTCATACATCCGGTTCGTGATGATGGATTTTGAATACCCCCGGGTCGAGATCCCAGGCTCATGTCCAGACTTTGAAAGACGCGCCGCATCCGGATCGAGACCCACATTGCGTAGTCTCGCCGAGAGTATGAGTCTAGAAAGTCTGGACCTACTAAAATTTGGTACAAAAGTCTGGACATAAAGTCGCTACGTCTAGACATGCATTTTGCAGACTTTTGCAACTTTATGCTCGGATTTTTGCAATCAAATTTAGTATATCCAATTTTGTGCAGTTTTTTGGCTGCCAAAATTTGGACTAGGTGAAAAATTTTTTGTGAACGTCTGGACATACGTGACGGACCTCGGGCCTGTTTTACTTATTCGGCAAATTGACCGAAATAAAATATAGATGTTTTTGTCAAATGTTCAATTTAATCTCAACTCACCTGTTGAGTCTGGTCCGGGCTGGAAAAACAAGAAATTGTTCCAAGTGAAAAATTTTTGGCCACCTTCACACTTTTTTGCCACCAAATCAAGCATCATCATCACAAAAAATCAACTGAAAAGCATACATTTTATTTTTGTCAATTTGCTCATGCTAATTGATAGTCAAGACAGTCGAAACATCTGTCAAGCACAGTCGAAACATACCCATTTTTGGTCGATAAAGTCAAAACATGCGTCGAGAACAGTTGAAATATAGGTCGAGCACAACTGAAACAAGGTCGAGCCTAATAGAAACACTATAAAATGCTAAACCAAAAATTTCAAATTTTAGGTCCAAACAACGAAATAAAAATTTAAACCAGATGTGTTTTCGCTGATATTGTTATTTGCGAAAAAGTTATAGTTTTGGTTTGAAAAAAGATTTTGTCATAGTTATGGTTCGGATTTTTTGTTATGATTATCTACTGAAGGTACGAGTTTTTGGTCATAGGTAGTCCATTGATGACTATTTACTAAAGAGAAATAGTTTTTTTTTGGTTGATTGTTATTTTGATTTGGTTGGTAGTAATTACGATTTGGTTGGTTTGGTTGTAATTTCCAAAAGGAATTGGTTGGTTATTTTTTCGATTGTTGTAGCTGTGTATTGTTACTATGTGGTGTTGCAATTGTGGCATGTTTTGTCGAAATACTTTGTTATGTTTTACTGGCATTGTTTTAACGATTTCAGCATTTGTAAAGTGTGACGGGGTTTCAAAATCTTGTTGATTCAAAGTTGTTGTTCCGTTCAAATTATCTCTTGCATGCATAAATATTGAGTTAAGACTGGTAGTATCTGTTCTGTTCCAAAAAAATGTCATATTTTAATGGTGTTCTATCTGTCGCTAATGGGATGATTCCTAAACTTCAAGAAATAAAACTGTTAGAATGGCTGCAGTTGCAATTGCATTTGCTTTATTAATAATTACGTCATGATATCATTCAGGGTCCTAAAAATTTACCTGATTGATCTGCTAGATTTGTTTTAGTATCGCATTTTGTGCGAAATTGTTTTCTAGCTTGTTCTATAAGATCTTAATTATGTTAAAAGCAGTCAATTATGAAACATGCGAAATTTCTTTGAAGGTCAATTTTTTCCATAGCGGACATTTAGTTGTATCCAGAAGTTTGGTAAATAAATATAATTTCCTTCTTTCAATTGAATGTCGTGTTGTTTGTCGTGGTAATGCATTAAATGATTCACTAGAATTTAACATGGAAACGAAAATCTGTCATCTGTTTGTACTTCATGTGATGGAGTACTAATATTTGGATTTGGTGATAACCTCACAATATGGAATATTCATAATCGAAATATTATCACCAAATCCAAATATTAGTACTCCATCACATGAAGTACAAACAGATGACAGATGAGTTTTCGAAAGCCTTCAAAGAATGAATCAAAAATATAAAGCATCAAAGAATGCATCAAAAATATTCATAATCGAAATATTATGTTGCATAGGTGGGGTAAGTAAAGGTCAAGTATCTGTCTTTTGATTATTACTTCTAGATTTGTTTTGCACGAACTATAGCCGTTGCAAAACAAGTTTGTTATGATATTGTTATTCTTGTATTTCTGATTGATCACATCTGAATGTATGACAAATGGTAGGATAGAGTCATTCTCAAAATGTCTGTCGTAATCTTGAATCAAATTTTATGAAGTGTTATTACTCTAATTGTATAAGGCTCAATGCGTCTTATCAGTATAAACATATAATTGGAAAAAAATCATTGTCACTGTACATATTTATTCTTCTGTTAATTTTTAAGTTTGATGTTGTCGCTTCGGAGTCAGGAAAATGTCTTTCGTCTAAATTTTTTGATTAGTGTGTTTTATTGGACTTTTGAATTGTTGTTGCAATTTACATTTTTCTGTAGTATAGGAATCTGAAATTGCTTTGCGTTTGCTTGAAAAACGATTTTTTAGTGTTTGTTTTTGTCTATCGAGAAAAAAAAATTGTTGCGAACGTTTTTTTGATTTAATATAATGACTTATTCTTTGTTTAAGTGGTGATATTACGAGATCGTTTCGAATTTTTTATGTGACAATTGTGGAGATTTATTGTTTGTTTATTTGGTATATTTCATAATGAAATAAGTTTTAGGAATTGTGGAGATTTATTGTTTGTTTATTTGGTATATTTCATAATGAAATAAGTTTTAGGATAAAGGGAGTGATGCAAAATCCTGGTGTTAATTTTTTTTCTTAAACTGTTATTCCGTAATTGATTTGTGATTGTTATCCTAAATCCTTGGATCGTATGTTTGTCGTGGCAAGACGAGTAGATCGATTCTTTTGGATGATGTGTACTACTCTCAAACGATTGGCGGTCGCTGCGCTTAAGTATTTTTGTCTTATTTAAAGGGTGATCGACATCAAGAGGAAGCCTTGATATCAAGAGAAAGCCTTGATATCAAGAGGAAGCCTTACAATTTAAGTTAAGTTAAGTTTGACATAGAAAATTAAATTGAGTTAAAAAAAATGTTAAATTGAGTTTAAAAAATTTTGAGACCATGTTTAAATGATTTTTTTAAAATGTTTCATACAATGGATAATTGAGACGGGAAATTAATGAACGCTGATGTTCAATAACAAGTTACTGTTTTGTGTTTATTTTTTGGAATGACAAAAAATTTCTGCAGCTTTAAAGTTTCTTAGGTCGAAAAACTTCAATTAACGACTAATCGGTATTGTTGCTTATATTACCGTTAGATTATTATTATATTGATATGTTACCAGGTTGTCTTAGAATATATATTTTTCAAGTTTACGGCTTAATTTGATGCAGTTCAATATACTTTAATTGGATTTTACTGCACAAATAGTTTGTTGGTAATTAGCGTCCTTTCTGCTTATTTTTTCTTAATTTGTTTAATGATTGCTAAAACTAATTTAGTTGTAGGTCTCCTCGAGACTCATTGGTCGCACCAGTTTGGGTCCGCGGTGCCCGTCTGATGGAATGATTTCGGATAAGCTACGTCGTCTGTTTGTCTCGCTATATTTTTTCGGCCGGATAGGTTAGTGCAACTCCTTGGTATAATATCAATCCCTCTCTTATTCCTAGATATTTTATTTCGTAGTCTCAATAGATCTAAAGATATACTGGTTTTATTGCGAAGCTAGAGGAGAGAGAGAGGAAACCTACTGATTTCAATCTTTTTTAATAAATCTTTGAACCACTCGGTTTCTCAGGTTTACAAATCAAGAAAGATTTAGTTATGGATCATGTTTGTAAAAATTTTTACTGAAATAAAATATAAATTAAAAAATTTATTTCAAACTGGTTCCAAAATTTTAGGGTTGGTCGGCCGAAAATGAATAAATTGAAAAATATACCAAAGGACGATGAAAATGAGTAAATTAAACAAAATACCAAAGGGGATCCTTTGATTGGCGAGGGCGTCGAATCCCTGAGGGGAAGGACGTCCGCTCCCTTCCCCCCAAAATCCACACCTGGCCAAACATTATCGACTTTTTTCCAGTCCCCCTTTTGGCTTTTTCTGCATTAAAACTTGTGAGCGTGAACAGGTGAACAAATTTTCACAACACTTAGAACATGCAAATAGCCATGTGAACAATTTTTGCACAGCTTTATTTTGCCATTTCGCGAGGGGGTGGGAAACTGGAAAAGAGCCACCTAATCGGTTTGAGTAAATGTTTGAGCAGTTTGAATCATTTTTTGTCTAAGGTCAACCCAATTTACGCGTTTTAAAATTGAAGTTTTATTCGCGGTGTAAGTATGATCGTTGGGTCCCTTAATTTTAGATGGGTCCCTGAAGAAAAATGTTAAGCCTCAACACCAGGGCACGTCAAAAGTTAATTCGACAACTGAAAATTAAATTGCAATTAACTGGAACAACCCAAAAATAAATAGCAATTAAATGTACAATTAATTACCTGCCCGAAGCATGGTTTCATGACAATTTATCCCTTACCTTTTTATCCCAGGCGAAAATATCCCAGTCAAAAATATCCCAGAAGTAAAAATAGCCCAGGACGATGTAGCCCACGCTGATTAAAAAAGCCCATCTGAGGAATCGAAACTATTAAAATATCGCAATAGAATAATTAAAGGAATTGAAACCAATATGCCGAAATTGAACAAACCGATCAAAGCAATGCTAACTTTTGAAAAAGAGCATGAAATCAAATTCAGTTCAAAGCGTGAAAATTTCAATGCACGTTTTAATTCTGCCAATCTTTTGAACTATCATAGCATAAAGATATGACTTTCTAAGCTCACTTGGCAACATGGTTAAAGAATATGACTCTTGCTCAAAATATCAAACGATTGAATCAC